ACTTTGCTAATCTTCTCAAGATCTCAAGCTTCTATAGGACTTATTGTAGATGCTTGTCGGTGAGGACGACAATGATGTGGGCTTGGAAGTATGGACGCAACTTGCGATTTTCTATGATTAATGATAATGCTAACTTCTCTATGTTAGGGTACTTACTTTCATTAACATACACCACTTTACTTACATAATAGATAAGTCATTGCACCTTATCCACTTCTTGGACTAGGTCTGAGCTAACCACCTTGACACTCATGGAGAGGTAAAGCTTCAGTTTGTCCTCGAGTTCTAACCTAGTTAGCAAGGGCTAGGAACTAAGGTATCTTTTGAACTCATCAAATGCGAGCTAGCATTCTTCAGTCCAGTCAAAGCCTTGAGCTTTCTTAATGTCCTTAAAAATGGGAAGGCACCTCTTGACCGACTTGGACATAAATTAGTTCAAGGCGACTATTCGATTTGTTAGCCTTTGGACTTCTTTAATGTACCTAGGGGGTCGCATATCTAAGATGGCTTGGATTTTTTCAAAATTGGCTTCAATGCCACATTGATTCACTATGTAATCGAGGAATTTACCCAATGTGACACTAAAGACAAACTTATTCAGGTTAAAAACTTAATATGGCAAACACATTGGTTAAACCAGCGATTAAAGATTTTGAAGACTTGCTTTTTGTTACCATATCATCAACATAAATTTTAATTTTATTACAAATTAAATCGGAAGAAAATTTGTTTACAAGACGCTGGCAGGTCGCCTCAACATTCGTTAGGACAAAGGACATGACATTATAATAGTATAAGCCAGTTTCAATTACAAAAGCTCTTTTCTCTTGGTCGGTAGGATGCATCTAGATCTGGTTATAATCGGAATAGGCATCCACGAAGTTTAGTAACTTGAACCCCCAAGGTCGTATCTATCAGTCGATCTATCCTTGGCAATGGGAAATAGTCTTTCAAGCAAGTTCTATTCAAGTCGATGTAATCGACACATATGTTTCATTTCCTGTTCGCCTTCTTCACAAGCACTACATTCGCAATCCAGCTCAGGTATTCAACATCCCTAATGAAGTCTTCTTCGAGGAGCTTCCTAACCTTCTCGTCAATTACCCTCAGCCTCTCTTGGGTGAAGTTCATTTTCCTCTATCTGATTAGTCTAATAAGGGGGGATAACATTTAGTTTATGAGTAATAACAAAGGGGTCTATGCCGAGCATATCGACAGCTGACCAGGAAAAAATATCTAAATTAGAATGCAAGAAACTTACTAGTTCAGTGCATAGAGGTTCCTCAAGTCGAGAGCCGATTTACACTGTCTTCTGGGAGTTAGTATTTGACACCAACACCTGGATGATGCCCTCCATCGAGCGAGCTCTATCTTCATCGTTTTCTAGGAGCGGTTCCAAATCTACCTCCAACGCTTGCTTTCCTTTGCCCTTTAGGGCCGCCCCGTAAGACTTGCGAGATTTGAGCTGGCCTCTGCACACTACTACTCCTACTCCATAGTTAGTGGGGAACTTCATTGTGAGGTGGTATGTGTATACCACCGCTCTAAGGGCATGCAGAATTAGGCGGCCCAAGATTGCATTGTATGGCGACACTGTTGCTACCACTAGAAAGTCATGATTAAACATGACCCTATTCAGCGTAGACCCCACTATTAGTGATAGGTTTATCCTTCCTAGAGGTTGGACCACCTCTCTACTAAAGCCAATTAAAGGTATGTTGGTCTGGATTTGGTCCTTCCTATGCAATTCCATCTGCTTGAATGCTTCCAGAAACAAGATGTCTGTTGAGCAGCTTGAGTCGACCAAAATAAACTTTACCTCATAGTTATGGATTACGAGCTTTACCACGAGGGCGTCATCATGGGGGTAGTGGACCCCACACGTGTCATCATTTCTGAAATAGATCATTCTTCTACTCTTGGCCACTTCAACGGGTTTTCCTCCTCATGGGTCAGCTCACAAACAGAGGTTGGACCACCAAAGGTGCTACATCCCGCTACTATGAACTTGCCTATGATCATGTGGATCACTCCGCGAATCAGTGGATGATTCTCCTACAACTACTGTGAGGGTTGTTCTCTCCTCAACGGAGCCTCTTCCCTCCTTCATTGATCATCTTGATGGTCCTCCCTCTTGATGAACTTTTTCAGATATACCCTCTTGATCATCTCCTCAATCTTGTCGTTCAAGTTCCAATAGTTTTCAATGTCATGCCCCCTCTCTTTATGGAAGTGGCAATACTTATCTTGATTTTGGTTTGTTGGGTTTCCCTTCAAAGGGGTCGGCCACTTCAGATACTCTATCGACTTAATCTCCCTCAAGATTTACCCCCTTCTGGAATTTAGTGGCATGTAGTTCTTGATCTTGATAGGGGAGTCTAAGAGCATCGGGTCAATGACTTGCTACTTCTTCTGGGGCAGGATCTCGTTTGGCAATGGGGAGATTGACTTCTCTTCCTATGTTTGTTGCTTCCTCCCTAATCATCCTACAACCTTCTTTCTCTGCCCAGCTCGCTCGAGGAACTGAGGGCTTGACCTACTAGGGAGGCATAGTCGAAGTGGGTAATGTTGGGTTGCTCAGCCCTAACAACATCGAGATACTTGGTATCATCAATGGGACGAAGATATGCCCTATCTGGACATTTTGGTTCAGTGCATTATGGGCAAGTAGATTCTACCCCCCTGGCTGAAGTATCATCGATCTGGACATTATCAATGTTGTTGTTGTTGTTGCTTATCGAAGCCATTGGGTGTGTTTGAGCAGAAAGACAACAAGAACTTTGGATTTTTGTAGCAGACCCCATAGATGGTGCCAATTGATGGTGCACAATCTGGTTAGCTCCTTACTGTAGGACAACTCGGATGTCGGGTTGGTGGGGTTAGCAGGTTAAGCTGTAAGAAAACAATGTTAGAGTACCCATGGTGGACACTCTAATGCTTAAGGCTTAGTAGATAGCCATAAGGCTTATCTGATTATCTCCGAAGCGGGTGGTATGAAAGTTAGTTTTTCGGTCAGAGGATGTGATCCCAGAGGAATCAAAGAAGATAAGTCGCACGTAGCAGAAGCTGGTCTCCACATCACATAGGTCTCCATCTTGGACCTCGGTCAGGTTGGTGAGTGCTCGATAGGAGGTCAGCCCTCCTACCAAGGTCTCTAGTTTACTTTGCCAAGGTGCGTATGCTGCATAAGGCTATGCCCTCATCGGCCCTATCCGAGGTGATGTTGGGCGCTTGCTCTCTCAATACATTTGAGGTGTGTCCGAGGTGGCTCTGAGATGAATCTGAGGTGGTTCCAACTAACTTGGTAAGGACACATCATTGCCTACATGATGTTGAGGTGTCATGCAACGGTTTGGAAGTGCCACATGGCACGATGTCACTAGAGGGCCAAATTACCCCTCATCAATTATCTTAGACGAACGAAAGAAAAAATCTGAAATTTTCAATAAATATGACAGAGGGTGCAATTTGAAGAAATGAGAGAGAGAGAGAACAAGAAGAAAAAGAATATTCATAATGATGGTTGATGCCCAGATTTATTCATGGAGAAATTATGTAGTTGTACAAGTAGCGTTGGGTACAAGGGACTCTTTGAATGAAATTCAAGTTGATTTCAACATGTTTAGTTAGATTGTGGAAGATGGGATTAACCACTAAATAAGTGGGCGTTGGTGTTATCATACCACACGACTGGATGGGTAGAGAGAGACACGCCTCTAGTTCACGTAGAAGAGTGGAGATCCCAACATCAGCCATGACTTCAATAAGTGCACGAAATTCAGACTCAATGTTGGAGTGTACTATTGTGGATTGCTTGTGTTATTTCCAAGAGATCAAATTGGGGCTAAGATATACTGCATAACCACCAGTCGAGCAACAGTCATTAGGGCATCCAACCCAATTGGCATCCCTAAAGGCTGAAATAATGAGTTAATCAGTGAGAAATAGAGTCTCATGTGGTCCCTTTGAGATAACGGAGAATTATGTTGACAATGGACCAATGAACATTAGTAGGTGATTACATAAGTTGAAAGCCTTAATAGTGAAGGCTATGTTATGGCGTGTCATTGTGACAAAATGTAAAGCACCTACAATACTATTGCATGGATTTGAAAGTGGGGTACCATCTATCTAGGAGAGAGAAACATTAAAAGGAGTTGGAGAAGAAAGGGGTTTGGCTCCATTAGCTTTGGAATTGTATGGTATTGGCCCCATGGACTCTAATCTGGTAGTTGGTCTCCGATAGTCCAGAGATAATGGTGGTGAACCAATAGAGAATTGGAGAGAGGGAGGACAAAGAGGAGTCGAACAAGCCAAACTCATGTAGGGAGAAAGTAATAACTCTTCTAGGGAGTTTTGAGCCTTCTCTATTTATAGGGAGAAAAGGGCAGGATTTGGAGGTCACTATTGTCAATCTCTTTTGCAATTTTTGGTTTAGGGCAAAATTTGTGGTTGCTATGTTCGCATTTGCACTCTGTTTATCAAGATGTAGGGAGATGAAATAAACTGTTAATGCTTGGGAATGGTTACAGGGTTTTTGCTAAATACCTAGGACTAGTTACCCAAGGCTTTTGGTTGAAAACCTGGGATTGGTTATCTAGGGTTTTTGTTGCGTGCTTGAATTTGGTTACCTAGGGCTTTTGCTGTATGGATATAACTAGTTATCTAGGGCTTTTGGCCAAGTGTCTGGTATTAATTACCCAGTGATTTTGCTATAATGGAGATATTGTAAATACTGTATATATTTAGAAAGATATTATTTAGGAAGTTGCTAATATTGTATTTAGGAAGTTGCTAATATTGTAAGTTGCTAATATTGTGGATAGAGTTTAGGAAGTTATGGTTTTAGGAAGTTGCTAATTTCTAGAGTTGCTAATTTGATCATGATGTAATTGTATATATATGGGGCGATTGCCTCCATTGAAAGACGAGATAGAATAGCCATTCCTTTGAATTTTGATCCATACAATTCCTTATGGTATCAGAGCCATACTTACACTATGGCTGATTCGAAATCTCCTTATTACCTTGGTTTGCAAGACAACCCCGGCTTGGTCATGACCCCTATCGTCTTGAAAGGGGATAACTATGATGAATGGGCCAAAGCTGTGAAATACGCGTTCCGAGCAAAGAAGAAATTAGCTTTCCTTGAAGGAAATGTGACAAAACCTGGTGATGATGCCGGCGAATTGGAAGATTGGTGTAGTGTGAATTCCATGTTGGTAGCATGGATATTCAATACCATAGAACCAGGGCTCCGGTCTACGATCTCCTATATGGAGACAGCAAAGGAACTGTGGGAAGATCTTCGGGTATGGTTCGCCATCGGGAATGATCTGCGGATTCACCAATTGAAGAGCAACTTGGCCAATTGCAAACAGGAAGGTATGACTGTATCCGCATATTATGGGAAGATGAAGACCATGTGGGAGGAGTTGGCTGGGTATGTGAAGAACCCACAATGCACGTGTGGTGGATGCAAGTGTGGAGCGGCGATTGAGCTGACGTTGGAGCGGGAAAAGGAGAAAATTCATCAATTCCTCATGGGTCTTGATAGTGCAGTTTATGGTACTGTTAGATCGAACATTTTGAGTACAAAACCTTTATCTTTTTTAAACCGAATATATGCAATAATTGTGCAAGAAGAACGACACAAAACGGTGGCTTGAGCACGTGAAGAATGAGCAGAGGCTGTAGGATTTGCTGTGCAAACTGGAAATAGAACCAAATCTCAAAACAAGGATGAGAAGACGTGCTCTCACTGTGGGAAAATTGGACATGAGGTACTCGAATGCTTCCAGCTTGTAGGCTACCTAGATTGGTGGTTTACAAGCAAAGGAGGTCGCTCTGGTGGTCCTGGAGGACGAGGAGGTCGAGGCACGGGAATCGGAAAAGGTCGAGGAGGATCTGGTTCAGTGGCAGCCAATGCTATCCAGACACCAGGAAACTGCGGCACTAGCACCACTGCTGCGACTGTACGGACCAGCGATAAAGCTGGCTTTCCTAGACTTGATGATGAACAATGGGCAACATTAATGGCGATGATCAATTCACACAAGGAATCCACTTCAGAAAAATTGACGGGTAAGAAAATGTGGTTGATTGATTCAGGGTGTTCTCATAATATGACTGGGACTTTGGAGCTATTGAAAAATGTGCATGAAATCGCTCCGTGCGCCATTGGACTCCCTGATGGAAAGAATATGATGGCGTTGCAAGAAGGAGAAGTACAACTTGGGAAATGATTTTACTTAAAACATGTTTTATATATTCCCAACTTGAATTGCAATTTGATATCTGTGTCTCAATTTATTGATGAATTAAAATGTACAGTCACATTTTTTGACAATTTATGTGTAATGCAGGACCCCACTTCGAGGACAGTGATTGGTGTGGGTGAGAAGCGTGATGGGGTCTATCTTTGGCTCTATGTGGCAAGGACAAGTGCATGCAGGTTGGAAAAGGTGGACTCATATGAGCTGTGGCACTGGCGAATGGGACATCCCTCAATACAAGTTGTTAGTTTACTTCCTACTATTAAAAATAAACTTGCTAGTTAAGAAACATCCAGTGAGTTGTGTGATATTTGTTTAAGAGCTAAACAAACTCGTGATGTGTTTCCTCTAAGTTCTAATAAAGCTTCTGCACCTTTTGCCTTAATTCATTGTGATGTTTGGGGACCATATCGTACTCCTGCTTCATGTGGTGCTATATATTTCCTGACTATCGTTGATGATTATTCACGGGTAGTGTGGATTTATTTAATGGCAGAAAAGAGTGAAGTTGGAGCTAATATTGTGAAATTTTGTGCCATGGTAATGACCCAATTCGACAGTAAGGTTAGGGTGATAAGAAGTGATAATGGGTCAGAATTTGTAGCCTTGAGTAATTATTGTAATATTCATGGCATCATTCAACAAACATCTTGTGTAGGGACACCTCAGCAAAATGGCAGGGTGGAACGCAAGCATCGACACATTCTGAATGTTGCACGTGCTTTGCGTTTTCATGCAAACTTACCGGTGAGTTTTTGGGGTGAATGTGTGTTGACTGTCGGGTACCTAATTAATCGTACTCCAAGTTCTTTACTTGATGGAAAGAGTCCATGTGAATTGCTGTTTGGGAAGGAACCAACTTACAAACATATTCATGTTTTTGGGTGTTTATGTCATGCTCATTATTAGGGGAGTGACAAAGACAAGTTTGGTTCTCGAAGTCAAAGGTGCATATTTGTTGGGTACCCTTTCGGTAAGAAAGGATGGAGACTCTATGACTTAGATACAAATGAGTTCTTTGTATCTCGTGATGTTGTATTTTCTGAACATATATTTCCTTATAAAGCTGTTGTTTCTGAATCCCTTAACCCCGGTGTGGCTGAGCAACCGTCTGTCTGTAATAATGATGCACAATTCTTTGATGACCATGAGGCGAATAGTGCAGAAAATTCGAATGATGAATCAACTCCTGAAGAAGATGTGACTCCGGAAGCAAGGGGGAGTGGTGAAGATCTTAATGAACAGAGAGAAGGCAACGTGAACTTGGAAAGCAACAGTGAAGGAAAAAACCTTGGTCGAGGATGTAGGGAAAGGCGTCCTCCTGAGAAGCTGAAGGACTATATATGCCACACAGCGCAGCACATTAACGACCCCCTCGCGGATCATGCCACATCATACCATTCCTCAGGTGCGTCCTATCCTATTACACGTTACGTGACTTGTACTAACTTTTCTTTGAGACATAGACAGTTTTTGACAGCTATAACTGCAGGGAAAGATCCCACATATTTTTCAGAAGCAATCCGTGAGTCACATTGGAGACAAGCCATGAAGGAAGAAATTGAAGCTCTCGAGCGCAATGGGACCTGGACCCTTGAACCGTTGCCCCCGGGAAGTGAGCCATCGGGTGCAAATGGGTATACAAGACCAAGTATATTCAGATGGAACGATCGAAAGACACAAGGCAAGATTGGTGATTTTAGGGAACAACCAGAAGACCAGGATAGACTATAATGAGACTTTCGCACCAGTGGCAAAGATGGTGACTGTTTGGTTGTTCTTGGTTGTAGCAGCGGCACGAAAGTGGGAGCTTCATCAGATGGACGTGCATAATGCCTTTTTGCATGGTGACCTGGCGGAAGAGGTGTATATGCGATAGCCGCCCRGTTTTTCATCTACACATTCAGGGAAAGTATGTCGTCTGCGCAAATCTCTATACGGATTGTGACAGGCACCCAGAAACTGGTTTGCCAAATTAGGTACGGCGTTAAAGACGTATGGTTTTACTCAATCACATTCAGACTATTCTATATTCACTTACCATAAAAATGGAGCTACACTATGTGTTTTGGTGTATGTGGATGATCTTGTCGTGGGAGGAAACGATGGGGAGATGATACATCAATTCAAACAATATATGAGTTGGTGTTTTCACATGAAGGATCTTGGAACACTAAAGTATTTTCTTGGCATCGAAGTCGCTAGAGGAGATGAGGGCATCTATCTCTACCAGCGAAAATATGCATTAGATATTATTTCTGAAATAGGATTACTGGGGGCTAAACCGGCCCATCTGCCCATGGAACAAAATCATCGACTCGCACTGGCCGACGGGAAGTTCCTGGATGACCCAGAAAATTATAGACGTCTGGTAGGAGATTAATTTATCTTACTATAACACGGCCTGAGATTTGTTATTTTGTGCATATATTGGCTCAATTTATGCAACAACTACGACAAGAACATTGGGATGTGGCTCTACGGGTGGTTCGACACTTAAAAGGAAATCCAGGACAGGGAATCATGTTAAGCGTCAACAGTGATCTCAGATTATATGCTTATTGTGACTCCGACTGGGCCAGTTGTCCTTTGACACGACGCTCTTTGACTGCGTATTTTGTAATACTTGGACGGTCTCCTGTTTCCTAGAAAACCAAGAAGCAACATACAGTCTCACGATCATCTACAGAAGCAAAGTACAGGTCTCTGGCTGCTGCGACGTGTGAATTGAAATGGTTGAAGAGTGTCCTTCGTGATTTTGGGGTGGAACATCCCAGACCTATGAAATTGCATTGTGATAGTCGTGCCGCTATGTATATTGTGGCTAATCCGGTGTTTCATGAGCGCACCAAACATATAGAAGTTGATTGTCACTTTGTTCGTGATGCCTTGCATGCTCGGACTATTGAGACTGCTCATGTATAGACTTATAATCAGTTGGCAGATATTTTGACCAAGGCACTTGGGCGACGACAGTTCGATTTTCTTCTTCGCAAGTTAGGCATACGTGACCTACATGCTCCAACTTGAGGGGGAGTAATGGAGATATTGTAAATACTGTATATATTTAGAAAGATATTATTTAGGAAGTTGCTAATATTGTATTTAGGAAGTTGCTAATATTGTAAGTTGCTAATATTGTGGATAGAGTTTTAGGAAGTTATGGTTTTAGGAAGTTGCTAATTTGATCATGATGTAATTGTATATATATGGGGCGATTGCCTCCATTGAAAGACGAGACAGAATAGCCATTCCTTTGAATTTTGATCCATACAATTCTTTATGCTATGTGCTCGGGATTGGTTATCTAGAGCATTGACCGAGTGTTTGGCATTAGTCAGACATTGCTATGTGCCTGAAACTGGTTACCCAAGGCTTTAGACTGAGTGGCTAGGATTGGTTACTCAAGGATTTTGCTACATAGGGCTCATTACAACTAGGGTGTTAGCCCGAAGGCAACACTCAAGATTGGTTTTCCCAGGCCTATAGTGAATAAGTTGCATTGGCAATTAGGGCTTGTTACTTTGGACTTATGTGCAATGCTACAGGAAATGTGTGAGCAAATTGCAAGATAGTGCAATAAATTGGTGAACATTTGTTTAAGGTTCGCTTTAAAATTCATGAGTGAATTTGAAATCATATGTTCATCGAAAAATCTATATTTGAAAATATGTTTCGAGAAACAATGGTAAAACATAATTTCATAACTAGGTGTTGAGATGATAACAATAATAATTCCACTAGCACCCCATGCTTTCACCACTTAATGGGTTACAATAAAGATATTAAAATTATTATTGTTAATTTTTTTGAAGCCCTAAAAGCATAATTCATTCATTCATTCATGGATTACAAAACAAGCTCAAAAACAATCAATAAACACCCAAAAAAATAGTAGGTACTAACATGAAATAGACAACATAAAACAACACCCGAGATTAGACTAAGTTGCTGGAAAAAAAGTAAGTTGAGCGTTGGGAATAGACCTTTAAATAAACCTCTAAAAACCGCATAAGAAGTCTAGAAGTGCCCACATGAAGGATCTCCCTCCAATAGAGGAATGAACTCAGAAGAAAAACTCCTATAAAATTGAACCAAACACCAAAGTCTTATCCACCCCGCAATTTTATTTTATTTTTTGCTTGAAGATAAATTGCTAAGGGAACCCCAACAGATGACGATACAAACTTAAAAATTGAGACCCGGGGCTATAAGATGGTTAATCTCTCTCTCTTGCCACATTGTTATGTAACGTTATATGTGGAGGCACATGCACATTTACTAGTATATACTAACATAGTTCATAGTATATACTAACATAGTTCATTCGTTCATGCTTGGATTACAAAACAAGCTCAAAACAGTTAACAAAGACCCAATCAAAAGACTAGTAACATGAAATAAAAACAATAAGACAACACAAGGATTAGATCAAGTTGATGGAAAAAAAAGTAAGTTGAGCATTGGGAATAAATCACTAAATAAGCATCTAAACACCACATAAGAAGTCTAGAAGTGCCAACACGAAGGATCACCTTGAACAAAGGAATGGATTCAGAAATAAAACTCCCATAAAACTGAACCAAACACCAAAGTCTTTCCATGACACGGTTTTGCGTGTGTATGTATGTATGTATATACTCTTAAAAGTATGAATGAAGGTGTAAAACTTTTCTTTGACTAAAATACCCCTATTTTTGAATTTCTTCCATCTTTGATTGGGAGGGTTGAAAGTATAATTTAAATCACTACTTTTAACCTCATTTAATTCCCTTTTGTTGAATTTTATATTTAAGGTATTCAATTTTCTCTCGTTAAATCCCATATTTAAGGTATTTTCTCATTAATAGATTATACTAATTAGATTTATATCAAATACTTTTTACAATGTAAAATCTTCTTTTTTTAATTAACCCAAAGACGAAATCATCTTTCCATCTAAGTGGTGCGTAAGCAATTCAACTATCTTGGTCACGTTGGTCAACCCATGATGTCGTAGATAAATAATAAATTTTTAAATAGAAATAAATATAAAAAATTATAAAAATGTAGAAAAAATTAGAATTTTTTTTATATTGTACTAGTCCACCAATCGATGTGGTAACACAACCACTCATTAGCGCTGCACTAGTCCACCAATCGAGCAGCACCACTACGAACTCCAACAATAATTTCATGCACCCACTAGGGCACCCAAATGGACTTTACCGAGTAACACTTAAAACCACTACATGTGCTAATGCAATAAGCGACAACTTTGAATCACTTGCTTGGCTATGTGTTAACTCGATGAGTGTGTGGAACTTTTCTTTGATTAAAATATCCCTATTTTTGAATTTAGTCCATGTCCAATTGCGAGGGTTGAAAGCATAGTTTGAATTATTATTTTTTATCACTTCATTTTATTCCTTTCGTGAATCTTATATTTTAAGGTATTAATTCTTATTCTACTCATTAAATCCTATATTTAAGGTATTTTTCTCACTAATAAATTCCACTATTTWGATCTATGTGTAGACTTTTTTGAAAAAAATACCCCTATTTTTTAATTCAGTCCATCTCCAGTCGTTGGGATTGAAACTGTAATTTGAATTAATACTTTTCACCTCATTTAATTCCTTCTTATTGAATTTATATTTAAGATATTAAATTCTCTCTCATTAAATCCTATATTTAAATACTTTCCCACTAATAAACTTTACTAATAAGATCTATATCCAATACTTTTAACAATATAAAACCCATATTTTTTTTAATTGACCCAAAAATGAAACCACCCTTCTTCTAAGTGGTGGGTAAGAAATTCAACTATCTAAATCAAATGGGTCAACCCATGAAGTCATAGTTATATAATGAAATTTAAAAAATATAAATAAGTATAAAAATTTATAAAAATATATAAGATATAAAAAAATTAGGCATATTTCTGATATTTTATATTGATCATATTAAAGAAAAATAAGTGCAATAAACAATTATCCATATGCCCACATACTTTGTTATTTACTTATTCATGCAAAAAGCATGAAGAGCTAAGCCATTGATGTCATAGAAAAGGTTATGCCCAAGAAAATCAAGCTAAGATTTTATCTGTTGTATCCTTTTGATCAACCTACACCTTATAAGGAAGGACTTCATTCTCAAATTCAAAAAGGGTGCAAGGGGGAACACCCATGGACTGAGAGAAGGTTGCAAAAGTGCTTCTAAATCTTATGGAACAAGGTAGAATATAGACATCGCTTTGCATCTCTTGCTTTTATAGATAAATAAATTTATGAAATGAATTTCCAATTACATAAGCATAGGCCAAAATTTTATTTAGAAGAGCTTTTAGTAAAGATGGAACCGAAATACAAATTTTAAAACCTGATTATAAAATGAAATTGTTTTTCCATTTGTTAGTGGGTCATTCAACTTTCAGGTCAAATGTGTCAACATATGATGTCATAGTTAAATAATTAAAATTAAAAAGAGATAAAGTTATAAAAAAAATAAAAAAAAATTTGCCAAAAAATTAAATACATCTCTTATATTTTATATTCAAAAAAATAAATATAATAAATAAAAAATACTTTTATATGCATAAGAATATATAGAAACCATACAAAATTTGAATAATGATGACAGCAAGACATGTTTTGATTGGTCAAAATGTAATAGGAATATCTTTGGATTGGATTTAGGTTGAAGCAAACCCGCATGAATTTGGCATGTTAAATCCTTAAGTATAGACC